CGCCGCGGCGACCGGGGGTCGGGTTGCCGCCGGGCCCCGGCGTGGTGGGCTGAAGTCGGTGCCCGGCCCGGCTCCGGCGCCAGGCTGTGGGTGTCGAGGCCGGGTCCTCTCCACCTTTGCTTCCGGAGAAGACAAGGTCCCTGCGGACCCGGCGCTTCTGGAGCCCATTGCGGCAGCCAGCCGGGCCTGGGACTACACCTGTCCCAGCTTTGCCGCTGGGGGCGGCCTGGGTCTCCCCTGCTGGCCCTGGGCTCACGGACACCCCGGGCCAGGGCTCCACCGCTGTCCCTCCGCCCCCCATCTCCCTGGGAGCTTAGGGTCTGGGAGGGGCAGCTGTGGCTGTTTATTGGGGCAACAGCTCAGTTCCTCAAGGCACAAACTAAACAAGGAGAGGACCCCAGCTAGGCTGTGGGGAGACCAAGACGCAGGCCTACCGGCTCGGGAGACACAGGACAGAAAAAAGGTCCTGTGGAGCTTGCGGCTCAGCTCTGTCTCTTGTTATTCCCTTCCAGGATGGATTTGGAGTAAGCAGGATATTGCTAGCCACAGTGAGAGGATTGGCTAAGTACTTTGGCCTCCCTGTGGTGAGTAGGTGGTTGAATGGACAGCCAGCCCTGGGAAGGCCCAGAGAGCACAGCTTGAGGCTAGAGGCAGATTGTTCAGGTTGCTGGAGGTGGGGGATGTGTGCCGGATTCCTGTCGGGCTCCCTCCATCCTGTCTGGGGTGGGAAAGGAAGGACCACAACTGTTCTGTGCCCTTCATTCAGTGGGTATTTGTGGGGCCTTAGCCAGCCCCAGCAGGTGCAGCAGAGCTGTCCTGAACTCCCCTCTAGGACAGCAGGCCTGCCCTGGGGCTTGCAGTCTTGCTCATGGATATTTGTCCAGTGAACAGCAGTGATGGTCAGTGCCTAGTCAGGAGGACACTGGCTGCCTGCTGCCTTAGAGTTGATGGAGGAGAGCTGAGGAGATGTCTTCTGTGCCCCGGAGCGGGCAGAGTGGCTCCACACTCTACCCTTACGTCTTGTGTGCTCACTCATAGTGCAGCTGCATGCATGTCTCCCCATTCCCAGGCCAGCTCTGCCCTAACTCCCAGGGAATATTGTTGATTTTGGAAGCAGCACAGCTTTAGTAGGAGAACATAGCAAAGGCAGGGCTACTCCCATTTTTGTGCTAGAACAGTGTGGAAAACTTTTTTTTTTTTTTGACAGACCTGGGCCTTGAAGCTATCCCTGAGCCTCTTTGTGTTTAAGGCTAGTATTCTACCACTTGAGCTACAGCACCACTTCTGGACTTTGAGTAGTTTATTGAAGATAAGAGTCTTACGGACTTTCCTGTCTGGTCTGGCTTCAAACTGGGATCCTCAGCTCTCAGTCTCCAGAGTAGCTAGGAGTATAGGTGTGAGCCACTGGCATCCTGCAGGAAGCATCTTCATAGTGCCCAATCTTCTGCCACCTGCCACTAGGTACTCTGTGGGGGAGACTTTGCTGGAACGCTTCTGCTGGTCCACGGCCATCATACAGAGTATAGCGCCATGCTTGCCTGTAGGAGCAGACACCCCAGAGGATTTTGGTTCAAAGCCAGCCCGGGAAGAAAAGTCTGTGCCAGGCTGGAGCAAAAACTCAGCAAGCAAAGAGAGCCTGATTTTAAATCCTGGAAGAAATAGTATCCAACCAGGTCACCAGTGACTGTCTGGTCAGTCCTACAACTGCAAGCATCTGCAGGCCAGAAAGAGAGCCATGCCAGTGTGCCCATGTGCTCTCTAGCAGGGAGGGCCTCCCAGTATTCCTGTGGCTCCCTCCTTCCCCTCGGGTAGAACTGCACCCTGGGATCCCGTGACTTGAGAAGGCAAACATCTAGTTGTTCCCCTGGCCTTGACAAGTGACATTGGCTTAGTCCCTGGGGAATTCTCCCAGCCTTGCTGGGACCCTACTAAGGACCAAGGTGGAGCTTCAGGTGTTTTATCAAGAAATCAAGTCAGGGGCTGGGAAGGTGGCTCAGTAGTAGAGTGCTTGCCTCGCATGCACGAAGCACTGGGTTCAATGCCTCAGCACCACTTAAGCAGAAAAAGCTAGAAGTGGCGCTGTGTGTCACTCAAGTGGTGGAGTGCTAGCCTTGAGCTGAAGAGCTGAGGGATAGCACCCAGGCCCAGAGTTCAAGCCCAAGGACCACCACCACCACCAACAACCAAAAAAAAAAAAAAGAAGAAGAGAAATGAAGTCATCTGTCTCCAAGTCCTGTACTGGCATCACTGGGGGTGGGCTGTGCAGTATAGTAGCTGTGCTGGCTGGGCCTCAGATCTCAGGTGTGTGGAAGGCGCCTGGCTAGACTGACTGTTGTCACAGGAGCTACGTGGCCATACTGTGGACGTGCGGAAAGCTGCTAGGCATCTTGGCAGCAGTGCAGGTGGAATTACAGTGGGTCTGCTTCACATAGCCTAGAGTTAATCAGTGTAAGGAGCATCTGGTTTTCCATTTCTTCTCCAACATGGGTCAAAGTACTAAATATTTGCTACTCTCAAGCAGTTAAAATGTAAGCGATCTGGGTTTTCCCTAATTTCAGGTGAGGCAGGGTGTCTGTCCCAGTCATCCGTTGCCTCTTAAAAGTCACTCAAACAACAAATCCCCCCCTCCCCAATAAAAAAATTAAACTGCTAAAGCAGCCATTTTGTTACAGCCCATAACCTTCGGACGGAGAGTTTGGCTAGCTCTGTACTATGGGCTGGGACAACTGGCAGCATGTGGCCTGAACCCAGACCTCCTTATCCCTTTTGGCACCTGGGCTTGAGCCTGTCATCCACAGAACTGCGAGTCCCCGTGGGGATGCACCCTTTCCACTAGAGAGCATTCCAGTTCCCCCTGCCCAGCACATATACTCTGAGCCTGTGGCCTCAAACTGTCAGGTGCCACTGAGTCCAGATTTCCAGGGAAAGGGTGGTTAATGCATGGAAGAGGTATGGACTTCAAACTGGACCAGGGCTGGTCACTAGCAGCGTCAAGGAGCAGAGGAGAGACGGGGTGAGGAGTGGGGCAGGGGCAGGAGTCCTTGGATTGCCAGGATGTGTGTGGAGGGTCACTTGGGGCTGAAGGTGAGCTGAAGATTTGCAGGAGGAAGCCCGGTGCTGTAGATGACCAAAGGTAGGCGACAGGACCACCAGGCAAGGAGACAAGCTGGGAAGGCAGGCGTTGCTCTCCCTTCAGTCCCTGAGGACCACCCAGGTTCTTCCTGCCTGGTAGCTTCATCACAAAGATGTCAGTCTGAGTAATCTTCTTTTCACAAGACCCTGCCAAGTCTGGAAAGCCCAGGAAGGGTAGACTGTGACCCTGTCCTGTAGGGAGGAGAGTAGGTTACAAGCTGCACTGGGTCTTTACAGTCAGCCCTCCTCTGTGATCAGCGTCCAGCTATGGTTGCCTGGCCACAGTAGGCAATTCATCTGTGGAGTAAGGAATTTGAGTTCTTCCCCTGATGGCTCCTTGTTCAGGCACTTCTGTTGTTGGAGAAGTTGGAGCCATTTCATCGAGCAAAAAGTCAGCCTTGCGGGCACTGCTGCCCAGGAAGTCAGGGCCTGCTCAGTGCCAGACTGTTGACCAGTCCAGGCAGGTCTGACCACATTCCTACAGTGGGAGGGCTGGCAGCTGGCTTCCTCCAGACTGAAGGGGCACCTCCCAGCCTAACTCACTTGTGGGAGGAAGGTAGAGGATCAGGGTAAAGCCCACATTTATTTCAGGGGAGCCAGACTACCATAGGTATAGGAGCCACAGGTACCAATTTGGGGGGAGCGTGGGGCTTGTCTTCAGAGGGCAGAGGGCTTTCTCTGGGCTATACGAGAGATGGAACTGTGCCCGTTTCCCTGCCAGCCTGGCTCCAGAGAACAGCACAAGAGCAGGGATGGCTAGGACGTGTTCTCTGGGAGGCAGGCTGCTTGCCTTTGGGCCTCTGCAGGCCCTGTGGAGGTTAGGCTGCCTGGCCGCAGGTCTGCCAGCCTCCCTGAATTCCTGCATGAAGACAGAGGGGTGTATGGCCACCAGCTAGCTGGGGTTCATGCTGTCCTCCCTCTTTTCAGCCATCCGGGTGACCTGTACTGGTTCCTGTGGGGTCTCTAACAAGGCCAATGATGGAGCATGGGTGGTGGAGGAAAGCTACTTCAACAGCTCCCTGTCGCTGGCTGACAAGGGTGAGTCTGGAAGCCCATCTCCCCACCTCACCCAAGTGGTAGCCCAGGGGTAGCCCTTACCTAGAGTGAGACCTGTCTGCCCACTCTCTTCCCCAACACTGCCTCCTGGACGCTTGTGTGTCCTGCTCTGGTGATCGCTCTAGTGGGCTGTGAGCCTTGATGTGCCTGATTCACCCTGTCCTCCACCACAAACCACTTTCCTGTTTGAACCAAACTCCCATGTTCAGCATTTTGTTTTTGTTTTGGGTCCAGTCGTGGGGCCTGAACTCTGGGCCTGGGTGCTAGTCCCTCAGCTCTTCAGCTCAAGGCTAGCGCTCTACCACTTGAGCCACAGCGCCACTTCCGGCTTTTGTCTTTTTGCTTATGTGGTGCTGAGGAATCGAACCCAGGGCCTCGAGCATGCAAGGCAAGCACTCTACCACTGAGCCACCTTCCCAGCCCCATGTTCAGCATTTTGTTCCCACCTTGTCTATGGCCACTGTGGGCCCCTTGAAGCCTGCTCCAACCTCCCTATTGTTCCTGTAGGGAACCTGACTGCTGGAGAGCACAGCTTCCCTTTCCAGTTCCTGCTTCCCAGTGAGTGGATGGCCTCTGGCAACGGTTGCTGGGGAGGGGAAGGGGGGGAGGTGCAGGTGCTGTGGAGGGGAGGAGTGGGAGGTAGGGCCGGTGGTGCAGGTGCCAACCCCTCCTCTCTTCCCAGCCACAGCACCCACATCCTTTGAGGGGCCTTTTGGGAGGGTTGTGCATCAGCTCAAAGCCACCATCGACACCCCACGTTTTTCTAAGGATCACAAGTGCAGCCTCGTGTTCTATGTCCTGAGCCCACTAAACCTGAACAGCATCCCAGACATTGAGGTGAGGTGGGATGGGGGCCTCCAGGGTGAGGGAGTCTGGACCAGAGCTATGCCCAGCGGCGGTGAGCTGGCTTGAACTGACTGCGGGTGTCCAGGGCAGGCTGAGGACGATGGCCTAGAGACCCGGCCTGTGGTCACTCCTCCCCATTTTCCTTCCTCAAGCAACCCAACGTGGCCTCTGCCACCAAGAGGTTCTCCTACAAGCTGGTGAAGACGGGCAGCGTGGTCCTCACGGCGCGCACTGACCTCCGCGGCTATGTTGCGGGGCAGGTGCTGCGGCTGCAGGCGGATATCGAAAATCAGTCGGGCAAGGACACCAGCCCTGTGGTGGCCAGTCTGCTACAGGTCAGGCCTACGCCGGCTGCCTGGGCCTGTCCTCAGTGGACAGCAGAGGGGTGGACCTGCGGGCTGCCAGGCTCACAGCCGCTCTTTCCTTAGAAAGTGTCCTATAAGGCCAAGCGCTGGATCTACGACGTGCGGACCATCGCGGAAGTGGAGGGCGCGGGGGCGAAGGCCTGGAGGCGAGCTGAGTGGCGAGAGCAGATCCTGGTGCCCGCCCTGCCCCAGTCGGCCCTGCCGGGCTGCAGCCTCATCCACATCGACTACTACCTGCAGGTCGGGTGTGGCTCGGCCCGGGGTCCCGAGGCCCACGGCCAGGCCTCACCCGGCCTCACCGCCTCCTCCTCTCCAGGTCGCCCTGAAGGCGCCCGAGGCCACCGTGATGCTCCCGCTCTTCGTCGGCGATATTGCTGTGAACCGGGCCCCGCCTGGGGCCTCCTCCCCGGCGGTGCCCTCGGCGCCTCCCCAGGAGGAGGCCGAAGCTGTGGCCGGGGCCCCCCCCGCCCTGGACCCAGTCTCCCTCTCTTCCAAGAGCCGCTCCCAGCCGCCTGCCCCGGCGCCCGCCGCGGACGGCCGCCCCGGCGCCCTGCGCGTCTCCCCGGGGGCCGCCGGCCCCCACTTCGCGGAAGCCTGCGGCGGCCCCGTGCCGGCCGGCAGCGCCCTGGCCCTCCCCCCGGAGTACGGCTCCTGGGGCTACCTCTACGGGGGGCCGGAGCCCCGGGACGCCCCCTTAGACCGCGCTCTCCCCGCAGAGGCCCCGCCGTCCTACGAGCAGAGCTGCCTGACCCGGGGAGCCGACCCTTGAACCCTGACCTCACCGCACGCTGCCTTCTCCGGCGGGCCTGGCCTCTGCCCTGGGACGGCCCCAGGGCCTCGTGCCTTCCTTCTCGGCCCGGCCCGGCCCTCAGGATCTGCTGCTGCCCGGCGGCCTCCCCCCAGACCCATCTCCCCTGGCCCGCGGGGCGTCGGCCCTCTTCTTCTGGGGCCGGAGTGGCAGGGCCCCGGGGTCTGGACAGACTAAATAAAGCGCTCTACAATCAAGCCGGGCAGAGGCTGGCGGCACGTCCCGCTCAAACTGGTCCCAAAGCTGGGGCTCCGCCCCTCCGCCCCGCCCCAGGGTCCTGCCCTGGGCCAGGCCCCTCCCTGCTGGGTACAGTGGAGCCCGCCAGGCCCGGGGCGGCCATCCCAGCCTCCGCCCGGCCACGCCCCTCCGCCCGGCCACGCCCCCTCCAGCGCTCCGCCCGGCCACGCCCCTCCGCCCTACCTCCAGGCCCTGGCCTTCTCCAACCCGGTCTTCTGCCCCGAGGCTGAGGGGAGGGCTGGCCGGCTCCGAGCCCTCAGGCCTGGAGCGAGCCGACAGGAAGGGGTAGCGGCAGAGGCCGGCCCGGTGCTGGACTTGGCCAACTGAACTGCGGCTGCGCGGCGGGCAGCGCGGCGGTGCCCCCCCCCCATCCGCGCCCGCGGAAAGCCAAGGCGCCTGCGCCAGGGCCCTCCCCGCGGTGCCGCTCAGAGGCTGAGACCTGAGATCGCGGTTCAAAGCCAGCCCGGGGAGGAAAGTCCACGGGACTCTTACCTCCAGTGAACCACCAGAAAACCGGAAGTGGAGCTGTGGCTCAAGCGAAGAGCACGCGCCTGGACCCCGAGTTCAAGGCCCACCCACCACCGACCAAAAGTAGGAGCCAGTGCGGTGCCTGTGACCCCAGTTACTGTAGAAGCAGGGGCAGGATCACTAGTTCCAGGGAGCCCTGGGAAAACTATCCAAGGGCGGGAGGGAGGACTGATAGGCACCTGCCTAGCAAGTGTTGGGCCTTGCGTTCAGACCCCAGAATCACACAAGGAAGTAATACATTATATACAAAAAAGGGCACTGAGACTGTTTCAGAAACAAGACAACATGTCTGGGGATGTAGCTCAAGGCCTGGATTCTGGATTCAATCCCATTACCGATAAACTAAATAAAACAAAATGTGCATTGAGCAGTGCGTCAGGACGGATGGAGAGGCAGTGGCTATTCCAAATAGGAGAAGGCTGCCACACCCTATTTGGGACATGTTCTTTAGAAAAAGTTTCCATTTTAAACTTTTTTTTTTGTCATGGACTTGAACTCTGGGCCTGGGCGCTGTCCCTGAGCTCTTTTGCTCAAGGCTAGCACTCTACTACTTGAGCCACAGCACCACTTCCAGTTTTTGGGTGGTTTATTGGAGATCTCACACCCTTTCCTTCCCAGGCTGGCTTTGAACTGCAATCCTCAGATCTCCACCTCCTGAATAGCTAGGATTACAGGCGTGAGCCACCAGCGCCCAGCAACATATTCATTTGATAAGCATTTACTTTGTCTTCCTTATGCCAGAAAGTATTGTTCTAGTCACTAGGGCACACAAAATGTAAGCTAAGTAAGGGTAGGGTAGAGTCAGATGATGCACAAGATACACAATGCAAGAGAGACACATAAGGGATAGGGAATGTCCTCATTTTTCACTAAAAAGGAAAGACTTCTCTTGATTTAAGATGCAGACTGTAAAGCAAGCTATACAGATAACTGAAATCAAAGGTTTTGGGAGAAGGCCAAAGCACCAGTCTAGGAGAGGTGGGTGTGAGGGAAGGCAGGTTAGGTTGTGCCAGGCAGGCCACGGAGAACTACAGACTGAGTGCTCTGTGCTGTCTGGGAGGGCTTAAGTCTGTGGCCTGTACTATGCTGGCTTAGGCTTTGACAGAACAGTTCATCTTTCTGAAGAAACCTGTGATGGCCTTAGGACCATCTGCTTCTTCCTCCGTGTCTGTGTACACAAGGACAGACTTAGCAGAGCTCGGTTCAGAGGGTCTCCTATGAGACCGAACCGTGGCTACTGGTGGACTGAAGGCTCCTTCAGTTTTGTGAGAACTTCAATTTCACTCTACTTTCCTCACCCCATGCAGCATCTCCCCATCTGAGAAACCTGCCCAGTTAGGATAGGCTTTCCCACCAAGCCTAGCCCCAACCAGACACCCTCAGCGGTGCCTCCATTTCTTTTCTTTTTTCTTTTTTGTCGGTCGTGTGGCTTGAACTCTGGGCCTGGGCGCTGTCCCTCAGCTCTGCAGCTCAAAGCGAGGGCTCTGCCACTTGAGCTATAGCGCCACTTCCGGTTTTCTGGTGGTTTACTGGAGATAGGAGTCTTGAACCGCGATCCTCAGATCTCAGCCTCCTGAGTAGCTAGGATTACAGGCGTGAGCCACCAACGCCCGGCTCGGTGCCTCCATTTCTGACCAGAGCTCCTGCCAACAGGGGCACGCATGCACATTGGAGGCAAGGTGGGAGGGCACAGAATCAGCAGTGAAAAAGCTCAGAAGGGACCCTCAGTGGCGCCGGACATGGATGAATGTAACTCAAGAGCAACTCAAGGGCAGTGATAGGCAGGAGCAAACAAGAGGAGAGGAGGGAACAGCTGATACAAAGCAAAAGGAAAGAAATGTACCCATCACCTAATATACGTAAAGGTAACCCCACTGTATATCACCTTTAAGACAACAGTAAAAATATTTCAAACCCCCAAACCCCAGGGCAGCTCTCAACAGAGGCTCTTTGTCCTGCTGAGACGCCCCCCCCCCAGGGGAAGCCCCTCTGCCTGCCTGCCCTCCCAACCTGGCAGTGACACCTTTCCTAACCATACTCCTCAGATTGGAACTGGCTAACTGGGATCCCTCTCCCCAGCTGAAGCATTCCTTCTAACTAGTGGCAACCCTAGCCCCAGACCAGGCGGCCTCCATCCTCACCTCTCAGCTGGCATGAAAGGCAAGGAAATTTCAGTTTCTGGGGTTGGAAGTCATCGGTTGTGGGTTTCTGTTTTGTTTTTGGTATATGTGTGTTTATTGGTACTAGGGCTTGAACTCAAGGGTTAGTGCTCTGCTCTTGTTTTTTTTTTTTTTTCTGCTCGAGGCTGGCACATTCTGCCTCTTGAGTGACACCTCCACTTCTGGTTTTTGTTGGTTAACTGGAGATAATCATCTCACAGACTTTTCTGCCCAGGCAGGTTTCAAACCTCAATCCTCAGCTCTCAGCTTTCTGAGTAGCCCTATAAGGGCAGGTGGGATCAACCTATAAGCCTCAGGTTCTTCACCTTCATCAGCTTGCTGGGATGTGGGATTCAGTTTAAAATGAGAGCACCTGCAGGCGGGTCCTAACTAGATACCTGAAACTATAGACTAAATCCTCTATTATAGTCCCAATTTTGTTTTATACATATGGTAAAGTGTACCCCAGTACCACCAACCCCGCCCACATATGATGAAGTTTAACTTATAAACTAGATACAGGAAGAGATCAAGAACACTAATAAAAAGTAGAACATTACAACAATATATTGTAATAAAAAATACACGAATGCAGTTTCTCTTACTCCCATTTTTTTCTTTTTAGTGCTGAAGTTTGAACTCCTGGCTTCGAACTTGCTACACAAATGGTTTAGCACTTCAGACATATGTACAATCCATTTTTTTCTTTCTTCCAGTCAGTTGTAGGGCTTGAACTATGGGCCTGCACACTGTCCCTCAGGTCTTCAGCTCAAGGCAAGTGCTCTACCACTTAAGCCACAGTGCCACTTCGTTTTCTGGTGGTTCATTGGAGATAAGAGTCTCAAGGACTTTCTTTGCCTGGGCTGGCTTTGAACCGTGATCCTCAGTCTTAGCCTCCTGAGTAGCTAGGATTATGGGTGTGAGCCACCAGCACCCGGCTCAGTTTTGCTTTTTCTTTTGCGAGGGAGCTTGAATTCTGGACTGGGCACTAGCCCCGAGCTTTTTCCTTCCAGGCTGGCATTATGCCACTGAAGCCACAGTTTTACGTCTGGCTTTTTGATGGTTAATAGGAGTTAAGATCTCATGGACTTTCCTACTCTGGCTAGCTTCGAACTATGATCCTCGTGTCTCAGCCTCCTGAGTAGCTAGAATTACAGATGTGAGCCATCCAGCACCCAGTGTTTTCCTAAAACTTTTTGGAACATTATATTCTTAGCTTAGAAGAAATGACCATACAGATTAATTAATTTTTTTTTTTGGGGGGGGTCCAGTCGTGGAGCCTGAACTCTGGGCCTGGGCGCTGTCCCTCAGCTCTTCAGCTCAAAGCTAGCACTCTACCACTTGAGCTACAGCGCCATTTCCGGCTTTTTTCTTTTTGCTTATGTGGTGCTGAGGAATTGAACCCAGGGCCTCAGGCATGCAAGGCAAGCGCTCTACCACTGAGCCAACTTCCCAGCCCAAGGGCCAGGACTTATCTAAGCCAGGGAGAGGTGTGGCCAGGTAGGGGAAAGAGAAGGCCACAGTGGATCTGGATATGACCTCGGGGCCTGGGACCCTCCTATGGTCAGATGGGAGGTGTGACCAGAGAAGGCCCAGGATATGACCTAGCAGGAGGGGAGGTGACTGCTTTTAGGTGTGCAAGTTACCTAGGTAACACAGATACTGGGCTGAAATTGAGCCAAGAGGTAGGGAGGTGAGGTGTCTGCACAGGGCTTGTAAGGCCTGGGGCAAACCTTACCTATACCACAAAGATGGCTGAAGATGACTATTTTGAAATACTCTTTTCACATGGCATGTCTGCACCAACTAATACACCTGTTTGTTGGTTTGTTTCTTTCTTGCCAGTCCTGGGTCTTCAACTCAGGGCCTGGGCATTGTCCCTGAGCAAGCACCCTACCACTAAGCCACCTTCCCTGTGTTACACCTCTTTTTTTTCTGTTCATTACGGCTCTATATTATATAGCGAAATGGCCAGACCTGATACATGGAAACTGTGAGAGCCCAGAAAGGATTGGGAGTAAAGAATGCTTCTCCCAACATATATCAGAACACTGGAGAGATCAGTCCTGCCTTGAATGGGATTCAGCTTTCTAACCTGGGTATGGGCTAATTCCACCCTCAACTGTGTGGAGCCTGGGGG